TGTTATTGTAATCGTTTTTATGTAGATGCTCTTTTTTTCATCTAGTGAAATCGCTTCCCACATACTCATTATCAACAAAGGATAACACTCCTTATCGAAGAGATGAAGTGCACGTGGTTGCGTACTTTTTGGAGCATGTCGTGCGAGGCATTTATCATGGGATGTTTCCACTTCCAGAACCATATCCCACCAGACGCGCTAGTATGGTACGTAGCCGCCTAATTCCATTCCATTTTCAAGGTATCATATATAATTAAGTTTGCCAGCTTCATGAGTTTCTGCCTTGAGCTCATATAATCACGGTGACCATTTACCTGATGATGGAAACCGCTCCTCCGCTCTTTCACTACGGAGGGGACAACTGCGCTAGTCATAAGCACCGCTACTACTACGATGGCGATTGGATATATCAATATTTCCAACGCTTGGGATAGCAACTTCATAATTTCGGCGTCTCCAATCGTTATGTTCACCAGCCATGAAATGTGCGATTGAAATTCCCCTGAAAGGAACACTCGAAAGAAAAAGAGTTCAACGTTGAATCGTTGTAGGAAGGAAAAAAACGACGAGCTATTCAGAAAAGTATTCAAGCCCCCCCCTACGGTATTAATCGAGAAGAAAATTCATGATTACATTACCTTCACGAAGAACAATGTTCGTCATTAGATTTGACGCCACCAGAGCGCTTTCAGTCAAGTAGTTAGGTACAACAAAAACAGCATCGCTCCAGTCCTAAAGATGCAAGAGATTGCCCAAAGCGCCCTCTCAAGATCTGTGGTCAGCTCGTGCCAGATAGTCCACGAAATAAACAACGTCCTCGGATAAGGTGTGCTGCGAAATCCACCGTGACATTCGGCCATATTGTCCGCATTCAAAGAGAATATAGCACTTTCGTCACTCTAATCAGCAAAATAGGAAGCTGGAAACGCGTGATTATTGCAACAACTGCAACCACGATTACTTCCACTCTGCAGGAAAATGGCTTACAAGCGAGTTTACATGTACATATAGCGTTGCCTGGGGCGTCATAGGGAGATTTTCTAGGCTTTAGAGTAGCCATGTATTAGTTAGTTGTATTGATGAAATTCTGACCGATTGGGAAAGTTTTCTTGTTAAGACCAATAGGCTTAATGAGATAGTAGATCTGTATGGCCTATGGTGGCCATACAGATCTACTATCTCATTAGCCTTGCCCCGTATTTATGTTCTCTTACAAAGCTGTTCACCACGTACGTGACAGAATAAGAAATCACAAGCAGTGGCTCCGCTGGTAAAACGAGATTGTTATTATTATCACGTCAACGTGCACAACATACATAGCATACTGTTCTTTGACCAAAGCGAGTGTGCACAGCTATCACTGCCGTCGCTGATCTGATGAAGCGAAGGAACACCCTAAGACTATGCCTTCAGGGAACGCGCTGGAAGGGGCCAAGGCTCGCGAGATTTGGGAACGGCTTAAACGATAGTGGAGACGCCAAGTGGAGCGGAAACCAGAGCTGCAGCGAGCTTCAAAGGCAGTTGGCACGATGGTTTCTTACTCAGAATAAAAGGCTAGTAGGGCGCTGTGTAGTGGGGAAATGGCGAAAGAACGGAGTGAAAACGCAATCAAACCTGCGAAGAAAAACCTTCTTCTCAGTGACTTGTATATCTGATTTCGGACCAAGTTTCCGTTGCATCTTACCCAATCACCGCTACGAAATACGGCTGATAATGCTACCCATGTAGTGGCTGCACATCACGTCCGGCTCTATCATCTTCAATTCTTTGCTTCATAAATTGGGTAGCAAAATGAATGAATACCGAGCGTCAGGAACAGTGTCCATGTGGGCGGGCCGTTGCGGACGTTTGTACGTGAAAGTTATGGCTTGATAGGGCCCTCCAGTGAAAACCGCTATGCGCACGCGTGTCTGGCCCCAAGTCGTGACGAATTCTGTCGCTTGAGGCGTATCAATCCCACATGTCTTTTGGGATTTATCGTGACAACTGCCTTGAGGGACAAGTCCTCTCTGTGAACATGGAAGTGAATCATGGACACCGAGCGGTACCGAAGAATAGTGACCGTGTGTGCACCCCAAGGTAGTTGTTCCGAGCTGAGGAGGGTGGCGTCTACATGACCGTGGACTAGACCATCAGATCGGTTCCAGAGCATGACTACCACACCATAGCATGTGATGTAAACTGGCATAGGAAGGGTGCACAGATGCAGGGGATAAGAACCCTGGCAATAGCCCACACCTAACGCGCTGTAGCACGTCGTTCGTAAAAAGAACACCTATAGGTAAGCTGCAGTGATTGAGCACCCTGTGCTCTTAAGAGGATCATCCCTCAAAAATGTAAGGACATCAAGGTGCTGCGTGGGGAAGAACTGGGGCTCAACACAGATCCCTCGTGGCACACATTGCGTTAAGACCTCCTCAATAAGACGAATGTACGAACTGAGAGGAGGATACGGTGGTGGAAGTAACGCCAATTCGAGAAAGACGCGCTCAGAAGAAAGCGGTCTCCCAGATCATCAGGGGCGTGTATAGGGCACTTGGATCAACGCAGTAGACATCGGCAGAGCGAGCCTTGCATCCACCAGCTGCTAAAGTAGTACTGGGGAGGCACGAGGGGAAATAGAAGAGACAAGGCGGCGTGGTTCTGGAATGCCACAGGTGATCAAGCGTAAGGGCTTCAAAAGAATTTGCTCTTAATAAGAAGTGCAAACGATGTTAAAGGCAGTTGGCACGATAAATCGCTATACAGATGTAGGATTTATACGACTGGCTTAACAGAATTCCGTGACCTCGGACAGGCGCTCCGTGGCGCCTTTTCCAAGGAGGGTACCCCTATAACGCCCTATCGAGCAACAACATTCCGTCCCAAACGCCTTCCTCGCCCGCCCGCCCACAAATGAATGAATACGAGCATCGGAAACGGACGACCGTTTCCGATGCTCGTATTCATTCATTTGCTTAGCAAATTATGAAGCAAAGGGATTGGTATGAAGCGGCCGTGATGCTGCATGCATACATGGGTACACATATGCAGCCGTATCTTCGGTAGCGGTGATTGGCAAGATGCCTACGGGAAACTCGTCCGAAATCGATTTTCAAGTCACTGAGAACGGAGGGCTTTTTCTTCGCCGGATTTTGACCGTTTCACTCCGTTATTTCGCCATTCCCCACTACATAGCGCCCTACTAGCATTTTAGGACGAGTGGGAAACCATCGTGCCGACTGCCATCAAGGCAGTCGTCACCGCGAAGAACACGAAAATAGACGCCCTGTGCGACGAATTGGTCGGCCCAACTATGTCTTCTAGCTGGCCCAAGCCTACCATTGGGCTATCCAAGACATCAGGGCAGTGAAAACTGTGAAAGGCTGTGACGGTGCCAATCTTAGAAAGCCATTCTATGCCGAGTGGGTAGAAAGTGTACTTCAGGGAGCTCCTCAACAAAGACAGCCCACAAGTATAGTCGACGACACAGTTTAGGAGGGAGTTGGGGAGGCGATTAGTCCAGATGAGATCCCTACTAAGCACTGGAAGGCCCTTGGAGAGCATGGAGTAAGTTGGCTCACCCGCTTCTCAAGCAACATAACAATTGCAGACAGAAGCTGGATGTACGGAATTTTCCACATCTTCAAGAAGAAGAGGGACGCTACAGACTGCCCCAATTACCGCGGCATCAGACTATCTCCGCATACCATGAATCTGTACGGAGATTTGTGAACACCAGGGTGAGGACATCGTTCGGATCTTGCGGAAGCAGTTTAGCTTAATGCCCAAAGGGTGCACTACGCATGCCATCTTCATAGCCAAACAGGCGATGGAGAAGTGTCGAGAAAAGCTATCCTTGTTATCTAGCTTTCCTGGATCTGAGAAGGCGCCCTGGGTGCCATAGCAAACCAACACTTGAAGGGGCCACTCGAAAACATTCTCAAAGCCTATGACATTGCGTCGATAGCGAAGAGCAGAGAAGAAGTTTAGGGAAGGTGAGAAAGGCAGGAGGTATTGGCCGAAAACGGTAACAGCTGAACGTCAAGAAGACTAGCGTCTTGAGCTCCGAGGAGGGCAGCCCATCCGATGCTCGCTGGACACGAAGAGTCAATGGATGGACGTCAGAGCGGTCGCACAAACAGCTTCAATAGCAAAGGTAGGAGGCAGGAGCAACGAATGCAGTGGTATGGGCACGTGCTGAGATCGCTCGAAGAACGCTGGGGAAAGCGCTGGACTCTGGAGCGCAAGGCAGGCGACCACGAGGAGTCCAGGGAAAAGGTGGAGGGATTGATCAAGAATCACTCACTGAAGTGAAAGCTACGGCAGAGAGCGACCTGGACAAGAGAAGGCGGTGACTGTTAACAAAAGCAGCGGATCTCGCGACGGCGCGATTGACGCTAGCAAGAAAAAACTCCATGCTCACGATAATCGTAGAAAAGTTCATTGAGAAGGTCCTATAAAAGAGGTCTCTGAAGGAATGGTCAGTATGAGAAGCATAAGCTCGCCAACGAAAAAGCAGCCATGAGCTGCTCTCAACATATACAGATATTTTCTTGGTATCCTGCTATATACCATTCTGACTGACGCGCATTTCTGCGTTCCCTAACGGCCCACTTCATCATGTTTCTCCCTTTTAATGAACACTTGCCAATGTTAGGCTCATATCATATTTCTAAAACCATTCGTTGGAAATCGGACAGCATAGCGATTGGAAGGATTCCGATGGTATCGAAATCATAGGGGCTCTTATCATTCCTCGTTGGGCAACAACTCCGAACATCCTTTTTTTCGGCAACTCGAGCGTTTAGCGGTGGAAGCAATTCCGACCGCTAAACTGAGGGATTTTGCTAAGGGAA